ACGGGACTCGATCCCGGGACTCCAGGATCATGACCTGAGCCGAAGGCAGTCGCTTAACCAACTGAGCCACCCAGGCGCCCGAAAACTGGCAATGTTTTAAACAACAGTCACAAAACTATTATCATTTTCTTGTTCATTTAGTCCCATGTTACTAATTTTTTTTTATTCATGAGAGACAGAGGCAGGGGGAGAAGCAGGCTCCCTGCAGAGCAGACAGCCCGATGCGGGACTCGATCCCCGGACCCTGGGATCATGACCTGAGCCAAAGGCAGACACTTAACCAACTGAGCCACCCAGGCGCCCTGGACATACATTTTAATAATTACAATGTTAAGTGATGACCTTATTACCAGAACATAGTAAAACTTTAGGAATTGCATATCGTCCCTAGAATAGTTAGAGCATGTACCCACACAACATAACCTAAGGCTTATCATTATACTTTCGATGGTGCTTTCCAGGTAACTTAAAACACCAAATAAACAAGCCTAATTGGTCCAAAAGACTTCATTTATAATTTAAATCTTGGGGAAGTTGGTTAAAAACCTCAGAAAGTTGCAAAGCACATGCCTACATAGGATTACAGATCATTATAAAACCCAAAACTTGGGTGCCTGGGTGGCTCAGTTGGTTAAGCGACTGCCTTTAGATCAGGTCATGATCCCGGAGTCCTGGGATCAAGTCCCACAGCCGTCCCCTTGCTCAGTGGGAAGCCTGCTTCTCCCTCTGCCTGCCACTCCCCCTGTTTGTGCTCTCTCTTTCTGACAAATAAATAAAATCTAATAAATAAATAAATAAATAAATAAATAAAATCCATTCATTTCAATCTTAGTCCATCCTGACCACATATGAAATCTTTTCCCAAAGATTTCCCTTCATAAGCCTTCTACAACTTTCCTTTGCATTCAGATTTTGTCCCAAGCCATTTCTTCTCAACCAGTCTTATTTAGGACAAAATTACCTTCTTTTACCTTTAACAAAAATGTATTCCCATTCCTTACATCTTGCTTATATATCTCCTACTTTTCTACATACAGAGTTACTTTCCTTATTCCCATCAGTCTTAATTACACTTAGCAGAATTTTAACTTTTAGCAACCTTAATCTCCAGTGAAAATTAAGTAGTAATCAATGGTGAACTGTTATAGCAGAACTCTTTAGATGGCAAATTTATGAATCAGTTAAGCACAAAGCATGTTTACTAACAGATTCAAATATTTTATCTTATTTTTTTGCAATAAGAAGTCAAAAGCGTAAGTCTACGTCCAGTAATCAATGCTTTAGTACCTTATCCTGTTTGGAGAAGACCTGGATGTCCAATGAATTTAATCCCAATTTATCATCCAAGCAAAACTTTAAAGTTTCAGATTACCAGCGACTTTTTTTTTTTTAAGATTTTATTTATTTATTTGAGAGAGAATGAGAGAGAGCAAGCGCACAAGTGGGGTGAGGGCCAGAGGGAGAAGCAGCCTCCCCACTGAGCAGGGAGCCTGATGCGGGACTCGATCCAGGGACTCCAGGATCATGACCTGAGCCGAAGGCAGTTGCTTAACCGACTGAGCCATCCAATGACTTTTAAAAAGCTCTCTTAACAATTCCCCATGAAATCTCTGAGAGAGAAAATTAACCATCATTTTAAATTATCTTTTTGCTCACAAACTGCAACAAAGGGGCGCCTGGGTGGCTCAGTTTATTTATTTGACAGAGACACAGCGAGAGAGGGAACACAAGCAGGGGGAGTGGCAGAGGGAGAAGCAGGCTTCCCGCGGAGCAGGGAGCCCGATGCGGGGCTCGATCCCGGGACCCCTGGGACCATGACCTGAGCCGAAGGCAGACGCTTAAGGACTGAGCCCCCCAGGCGCCCCTCAAATAAATCAAATCTTAAAAAAAAAAAAAAAACAATGAATCCTGGAACACTAGATCAAAAACTCATGATGTAATGTATGGTGATTAACATAATAAAAAAAGAAAAGAAAAAAAAACTGCAACAGAGATCATGAGCTTATTTGACTTTCAGTAAATCTTGGTAGAATAAGTTTCAGATTTAATATTAATAATTTTCAAGACATGTTTTAGTTTAATTAAACCAACGAACTTAAATAGTTTAAATACCAAATTATATTCCTCCTGGGTTCTCTTTTAGAAGCCAATCAGTTTCGGGCGCCTGCGTGGCTCATTGGGTTAAGCGTCTGCCTTCGGCTCAGGCGTGATCCCAGGGTCCTGGGACTGAGTCCTGCGTCGGGCTCCAGGAGCCTGCTTCTCCCTCTGCCTCTCTCTCTCTCTCTCTCTCTCTCTCTCTGTCTTTCATGAATAAAAAAATCTCAAAAAAATAAAAAGAAGCCAATCGGTTTGTTTCCCATTATCAGTTTTTACCTGAGGCACTGGTGGGGAAATCTGAAGTGAATGGTGTCCAAAGGCCCGCGGCACCCAAGATGATGCAGAAACAGGAAGAGGAGAAAGAAGGGGGAGGGAACAGAAGGGGCACAGAGCCGGCCGGAGGCAGAAGAAGAAGGTTCCCGGTCCTAAAACCTGGCAGCCGAGACGGTTGAGCAGACACAGATTTTTGTTCATTTGTTTTTCCTCCAAAGTGAGATTAGGCTGTCCATGTCAGGCCGGAGAAGACACGGAATGAACCGGATACAAGGGGAGTTTCGGCAGCTGTTTGGGAATATTCTGGAAAGTCCCCGTCCTGGGCTAGACTAACTAGAAACAGTTGGTTCCAGTTATAGCCGTTAACCCTGAGATGGAGAAGCTCCCACATCTGTCAGGAGGAGCAGTGAGAAGAGCGAGAGCCAGCATCCCCTTTGCTAGGGCGGGCCTGTATTTCAGCAGGCTCCGTGCTCAGCAAGGAGCCCGATGCGGGACTCGATCCCAGGACCGCGGGATCATGACCTGAGCCGAAGGCAGACGCTTAACCGACTGAGCCACCCAGGCGTCCCAAGCAACCTGGGCTTATTTTGAGGAGGTCTACTTAGATAATTACCATCCAATATGTCAGGAGGGAGTTTATTAGTCGGACCTGTTCCGGCAAACACATTCTGCAAGAGGCCCTTAGGTCGGGGTCCTGGTGTAGAGCAATGAAGGTCCCCTAGGTCCATTTGCCTGTGTCCTGCAGAGGAGATCTTAACGGATAGATCCCACTGAGGCCATGTGGTGTTACAGGAGCTCAGTTCTTTCCTAAATTTCTCGAACCGAATTGTTTCCGGTGGCACCCCAAGAGAGAAGAGAGAAGGTCCATTACCCACCCCCCCAAAAAAAACCCAGCGACTCCTGGGTGGCGTTCCACACGGAGTATGTCAGAGGTTCCTGGTGTCAAAGTGACCCAAGGCATCCCCTGAACACAATCACTGTGATCGCCGCCACTGTTAAAGGCCCCATAGGAGGGATGCTAGGGTCCCCTCCCATCACCCCAGGCTTCCCCCCTCACCTCCTAAGCTATACATAGGTGCCTGACATATGGACCGAAATACCCTGCCTTGGAGGTCGGGCTGCAGAGGTCACTCATTATTTTACCTTGCTGAAGAACCTATAGCTTTTAACCCACACAACACACTAGAAAAGTTTTACGAGGGGAAATTACCCAATTTTGCAGTACTCGGTCCAGAAGAGTCCCCTCGAGGATGGCCTATTTCCCATCTCAGGAATCCAGTACGTTCCCGTCCGTGTCATAGAGAGATGCCTATGAGGGCATCCCCACATGCCAGCTCTCCGTCCCCTAACCAAGGTGTCCCTTGGCGACCCGTCCTAGAGTGAGAGAGTGGCCTAACACCCTAGGACACCAAAAAGTCAGGCCGGCAGGAATAACCACTCTGCCCTGCAGCCGACACCCAACCCTCCCCGTCCTCTGGACTAGCACTGAATGAATATTTTAGGTAGCTCAACCATAGTCAAGGGTGCAAACTGATATCCAGGGATTTGTGGGCAGGTATGTGCGGCTTCTGGAGGAGGCTTCCCTGGGCTGTGACCTCCAGGGACGGTCTCCATCCTTTTTACGTGTCTCGGACACCCCACAGTCATTTATGATGTCCAGGGCAGGCTCAGAGCACCGGATAGCCAGTCCTTATGTGCGCTCCCCGGATGAGGCCCGAAATTAGGGGAATTCTGTGACGTGTATCTTGGGAGTTCTCATAGGGAACCCTCATTCATTTCGTTTGCACCCAAGGCTTTGGTAAGCAAATGCCCAGCTAAGAAAAAACACAAGTGTCCACACAAAAAGATTTTTTTTTTTAATTTGATTACTTAAGTAATCTCTACACCGAACATGGGGCTCGAACTCACAGCCCTGAGACCAAGTCACAGGCTCCTCTGACTGAGCCAGCCTGGAAAAGATTGATTCATTGGTGATCATGGGAATGCCCATGAAAACCACCATGAGAGACTATTCTCATCCACAATAGCGATGAAAATAAGAAAATAGGACAAAACCAAGGGTAAATGAAGAGGTGAAGCAACAGAGACTCATAACTGGTAGTGAGTAGATTTTGGAGAAAACACAACCACTTTGGAGGATAATTTGGCTACATCTAGGAAAAAAAAAAAGATTCAAGTATTGAATGGCTTCGGATCAGCAACCCCATTCCCAGAGTCTCCTATAGGCACCCGGAAATGTGCAGAAAAAGTTGATTGTGTTATTGCCTGCTCTTGGGAAGAAAGTTGTAACTAGCCAAATGTCAATCATCAAAAGAATGAATACATCAATCATGATGCCATCACTAATTAACCTGATAGAGCAATTAACAGGAACTAATTAGGGCGTGTGGCTGGCTCACAGGGCACTCAACTCTTAATCTCAGGGTCATGAACTCAAGCCCCACGTTGAATGTGGAGTCTACTTGTAACAAAACAAAATAGGGGCGCCTGGGTGGCTCAGTCGTTAAGCGTCTGCCTTCGGCTCAGGTCATGATCCCAGGGTCCTGGGATCGAGCCCCGCGTCGGGCCCCGCGTCGGGCCCCGCGTCGGGCCCCGCGTCGGGCCCCGCGTCGGGCTCCCTGCTCTGTGGGAAGCCTGCTTCTCCCTCTCCCACTCCCCCTGCTTTGTGTCCCCTCTCTCACTGTGTCTCTCTCTCTCTGTCAAATAAATAAATTAAAAATCTTTTAAAAAAACAAAATAAAAAAATAAAAAAACCTCTCCCCCCAGGAATTAATTAGAACCACATGGTAAACATGAACAGATACAAAAAAAGCAAAAAAGATTAAAAACCAAATTGCTTAAAACATGGATTACAGCATGATACTAAACAAATAGAAATTTTCAAATAATACATTTCGAAATCTATGAATAATGCAGGAGGATTAAGGCCAGTTTCTGGACAGCAGTCACAGCTGAGGGGCTAGATGCCTTCCAGAGGGAGCTTCATGTACAGCCTCAGTTTTATTTAAAGTATCCTACTGTGGGTGTAATCGCCTCTATTTAAAAGAAAGGTTTGTGTGAGCCTATTATATTTCTTTTTTACTGTTATGTTAATCACCATACATTACATCATTAGTTTTTGATGTAGTGTTCCATGATTCGTTGTTTGTGCATAACACCCAGTTGTGTGAGCCTATTATAAACTCTGCAAAACTGAGTTTAATTTTGCTTTCTTCGGGCTCAGATCTACCCACAATGACCTCGGCTTCCGAAGGTCACGAGAACCCACTTCCCCTCTGTTGCTGATTGCAAAAGGAGCTTAGAAGTAGGCAATCCGCCCCTAAAAGCTATTTCCATTTGTCCCTCCCTCCCCTAAGACCACACCACCTGCTCTTTTTCTGCAGGGCTTACCAGCGAAATCTCGGTTTCCCCTGGATACAGGACGGGGAAGACAGGGTTGGTGGCTCTGTTGTCCCTAGGCCGCTCTAGGTTCTGTTCATTTGGGAAGGAGTACTCCAAAGGGAAGGGGCCCTGGGCTTAGTCAGATGTGAAATAGGGACCTCCGCTTCTTAAATGAAGAAATCCTGCCTCCTGTTATTTATAACCTAATATTTTCCCAGGGAGACGTGTGGTTACTGACACTCTGTTTTATTTTTTCAGATTTTATTTTCAAGTAATCGCTATACCCGATGTGGGGCTCGAACTCACAACCTGCAGATCAAGAGTTGCCTGGTCTACGAACTGAGCCAGATAGTCACCCCACTGATACTCATATTTAAATGTTTCTATAAGGGGCGCCTGGGAGGCTCAGTTGTTAAGCGTCTGCCTTCGGCTCAGGTCATGATCCCAGGGTCCTGGGATCAAGCCCCGCGTTGGGCTCCCTGCTCAGCGGGAAGCCTGCTTCTCCCTCTCCAGCTCCCCCTGCTTGTGTTCCTTCTCTTGCTGTGTCTCTCTCTGTCAAATAAATAAATAAAATCTTTATAAAAAAAAAAAAGAACTTAGTAACATAATCCTCTTAATTAAATGGTTCCTGAATTTGTCCCCACAATGAAACACCTGAACAGACTCATTAATCAGTCACTCCCCATCCCTCCCTCTTCCAGCCCCTGGTAACCATTAATCTGCCTATTCTGGACATTTCACAGAAACAAAGTCATTTATATGCTGCCTTTTGTGAATGGTTTCTTTCCCTTAGCATGGTGTTTTCGAGATTCATCCATGTGGAAGCACATTATCAGTACTTCATTCCTTTTTATGGCTGAATAATATTCCACTGTATTGATAACCACATTGTGTTTACCCATTGATGGACACTTGAGTTGTTTCTACCTTTTGGCTCTTATGAATAGTCTTACTGTGAACATTCATGTACAAGTTTTTCTATGAAGACCTGTTTTCAATTCCTCTGGGTATGCACCTAGAAGTGGAATTGCTGAGTCGTGGGCGCCTGGGTGGCTTAGTTGGTTAAATGACTGCCTTCGGCTCAGGTCATGATCCTGGAGTCCCGGGATCAAGTCCCACATCGGGCTCCCTGCTCGGCGGGGAGTCTGCTTCTCCCTCTGACCCTCTTCCCTCTCGTGCTCTCTCTCTCTCTCATTCTCTCTCTCTCAAATAAATAAATAAAATCTTTAAAAAAAATTGCTGAGTCGTATGGTAATTCTATTTAACTTTTTTTTTAGATTTCTTTTTTTTAAGATTTTATTTATTTATTCATTTGACAGAGAGAGACACGGCGAGAGAGGGGAACACAAGCAGGGGGAGTGGGAGAGGGAGAAGCAGGCTTCCCCATAGAGCAGGGAGCCGGATGCGAGGCCCGATCCCAGGACCCCGGGATCGCGACCCGAGCCGAAGGCAGACGCTTAACAACTGAGCCACCCAGGTGCCCTGATCTTAGGAATTTTTCAAATATGACTCTAACGTGAGAGCAAGATTTGGAATCGCTGCCCTAGGACACATCCTGATCAGATTTTAGCATGCACCCTCCTAGTTCAGCAAGTGTTTGGTAGAGAAGATCTCCAAATTATTCCACAGGGTATTTGAGAAATATGCTTTGGCATTTCTTATGGTGGGATTCACCATTTGGAGAAAGTAGATGGGAACAAAA